GCCTAGCTTAGTTTGAAATGGGTTGCTTTTTCATCGTGAATTCGTCCTTTAAAGCAAGGTGCCACCGTTCTTAATACAGTTACAACCATTTTTCTTGCTCTACCTAGCGATGGTGTCATCTTAGTTCTAATTCATGTTACCATTTTTTCAAACCATTGGTTACGGTATACCCATCGGTACAGAGCAATCTTGCATGATTTCCTTTACAGCTCAAAATAGGCCTAAGGCGGTATTCAATCCTTCCCCCAGGGGGATATATCCCCCTCCTCTGATTCAATCCTCTGGGGGGACAAAAAAGGGTTGCGTCATAGGACCTAGCATACCTCTGTGTTTCTACCTGCCAGACAGTTAGAGCAGCGCTACTACCCTCCACTGATGAAGCACTCTTTTCCCTGAGGGGTCGCGTACCCTCCTCTGGGGGTTTCCGCAGCGAAAAAAGCTTCGCGCTACAAAAAGTGGAAAGCTTCGCTCTCTTTCTTAGCTACCAACGCCCTATGGATGTTACTAAAGTTTTGAATCAAAAACCGTGACCTGGAGGAGCAGGCACGTTAGAATACGGCAAGAAGTTGCTTCACGTTGCTTCAAGCTCCTTATGGTAGTTCGCTTTTCCAGATACATTTTCTGCACCTCCTCGGGCATGTGAAGGACCTTTGCGAATTGTTATAAATGATGTATTTCAAGGTCAGTTCCCGATGTCTTTTTGTTCCTTTGCGCTTAAAGTTCTCTTGCTCTAGCGTCTGCATCAAATTCTGTGCGACTGCAGGTTAGCTCATGTTAATGTTATTCAGGCTACTAGTAACCAGCTGAGCTTAAGTGGAAGAATCGAATCTGGAGAAGTAGACGCAGGTGATAAGGTATACATAATGCCGAATGCGGATGCCGCCGTGGTTAAAGGTTTGCTCAATTTGATCTCTACAACTAACCCTTGGTCTGAATAGCTTACCTCCTCTCCTAGCATGTTCCAACGATAACGGTGGATATGTGGACAGTTGTGTGGCTGGCGATCAAGCTATTCTGACTTTGAACGGCGCCTTTGAACCGGACACCATTCACGCAGGACACGTGATCGTGCGTGGTGGGCAGGTATCAATTTTATCCTCTTGATGAAAATAGTGCGTCGGCGAATTTACTTGAGTGCTGAATTTTGTCATGCACGTGTTGAACTAAGAAACATCCATCGTCATTCAAAAATCTTGGCCTTTTTTGGTAGTGAGGTAAAGGTGATAAATACCGTTTTCAGGATGCTCTTATGCCATGCAACCGTTTCGTTGCACGCATCGTTGTCTTTGATATAGTTGTGCCAATCATGAAAGGAACAAAGGGCGAATTATACTGTCATTCACTTTGCGAGCCGTGCACAGTGGTCAAGTTGATCTCATCTATCAACAAGACGAATGGTGAAGTGATCAAGGAGCGACCAAGGTTTCTTTCCATTGATTTTTTCTTAATGCCTTGCACTTTGGCAGCTTTTGGTACAACGGTACCGCCGTCTTGCCCATATTTACTCATTATCATTTTCCAAAAGTTGTAATCATTCTTCTATTAATCGACATCCTGCAATTTTACTCATATTAGCACGCATTGGCCGATGTCAGACTTTGCGATTGGAGCGATTTTGCACCAATTGCAGGAGCGACGGATCGCTTGAGCGATCCATCGCTCGGGCCGTGATGTGCCATTGGCCGTTGTGGCAGGGAGCGATCAATCGCTGCCACGCCCCTTCGATCAATACCCTTGACTGGGGAGTCAGCAAGGAGCAAGGACCAGCACAACAAATCAATTTAAATCACCGGCACAGCAGTTCAAATACCGAAATTCACTTCCCTCCATTAGTCCCTACATTGCATAGACCTGCAAGCAAAAAATGTGTTGAAATATCAAAAACACGAAAGCAAAACAACAAATATGCTCAATCACGAGTAGTTACAAACGGCGTAGTAAACAGTGTTGGTCGTATACTATTCAACTACGTTATCATCACAGATACTAGAAGGGTTTAATCTAAATCCGCGGAGATGTAAACGTTATGTATTGTCGACTCCCCAGTCAAGGGTATTGATCGAAGGGGCGTGGCAGCGATTGATCGCTCCCTGCCACAACGGCCAATGGCACATCACGGCCCGAGCGACGGATCGCTCCTGCAATTGGTGCAAAATCGCTCCAATCGCAAAGTCTGACATCGGTCATTTGTATATGTTCTCTTCCGAATCTGAAAACGTTTTCGAACAATTTGAATCCTAAAATAATGTCAGGTAGTAAAGCGAATTGTGTGCATCACCTGGTGACGCACGCGGTCGGCAATCTGTTATGTTTGTGGAATAATTATTATGCTTTGAGCTGTTTGAAATGCTTTCGTATTCCAGATGCCTAGCAAAGCAGATGAGTGGATTGGTGGAGATCGAAACGGAGCGGGAAGTAGCGATTGATACGTACACGAGTTGCAAAGCGCTTGGTCGAATCACTGTCCGTGCCGGTGGCCAAACGATTGCAGCTGGAATTGTAGAACGGAAGCTGAGTTAAACGGTTCACTTTATCAGACTCAAGCTTAATTGATATATTGAAGAAGGGCGTTTCTAACTTGCAGTCTATCGAGATCATGCTTATTGCGGGTTAGTAATTACTCTTCACTCCTCTCTTTTTGCTTGCTGCTTTTTATTTTTCTGTGGCATTGGCAAATTTATCAAAGTACATAGTCCTGCTTTCGTATTTCGTTGATTCTTCTTTAGAAATGCTTTCTCTGTGATTTCTTGTCTTGTCAAAGAATTAAGCTTGTTTACCGTTATTGCATCCGGTAGAGTAGTATTTGTCATTAAAATTCCCAGTGGTAGTCTTTTTGTAGAAGACCAAAACTTCATCGAATAAGGGTTTCAACACTGTCTGTCAGAGCCGTGCCTGCTATCCTCGTTTCCTGAAATT